ACTTTCCTTTATAGGGAAAGTTAATTACACCCAATACCGTTTTGCTAACCGGAAAAATAACAACATTCTTGTTTAGGGGGTTGAGAGTAAATCGGGCGGTTCGCATTACCTCGTCCTTCATCTTAGATAAGAACACCGAACGAGATAACATCTTCTCATTTCAGCTTTAGCTAATCGAAGTTCGCAATCTTCCATCTCAAGGAAGACCTCGTCTTTGGCCTCGAGGAAAATGAGAGATACAACAAAGTTACATTTAACGATAGTAACAAAAAAGAATCATAACTTCTTGTAACCATACTAGTACAACGTTAACTGTAACTCTCACGTCTTATAACGATTTATGTCTCCATCGATAATACTGACACTATTTCAAGTTATAAAAACGTCATCAATTTTTAATTAGTTTTCGTTTTAGTATTGCCGTAGTAGAAACATATCTATTACACGCAACATCGAAAACTTTATTATACGATGTCTCAATAACTATAAATTGCCACAAGGATGACTAGATTGTTTAGTTTTGTTACTAAGAATTGCGCCATCCTTAAAAGAACAAGGAGGATACGATACAAACAACCTTCATTGGAACTTAAAGGTGTGTTAAGTACAAGCCTTATACGTAATTACTACTGAGTATTGTAAGCTCGAGATAATGGCATAGCATGTTACGCAGTTACTTTTGGTGGCGATTTAAAATTCTTTATACCTCCTTTTTTGCTTTATAAAACTACAACTCTCCCCTCGTTCATATTGTTTCCTTGTTACGTCGTTTTAAGAGGAATTTTTCAATAACCATAAATTGTTCTAACAAATTTATGATTAAAACAATAAAATTTCCATTGAAATAACATGGTGTATATTCTTACCCAAGATTTTCTTTTACGAGAAAATTAGATTTATGCTTTTAGCATCGACCGTCGTTAATGAACAGGAAATCTCTTGTAATTGCACGGCGTCTTATTAAAGAAATGAGCGGCGGCCCACGGCGGCAACGAAACGGTTAGTTTATTCAAGAGCCGCACTGGTAATTATTTTTAATTGTTACAGATTGCCGCCGTTCGTCTCTAAACGTTTTAGATATTAACGTTATCCCAAACAGTTTACGTAATAATGTTTACTTTGTCTAATTTGAACCAGTAAAAGAATAAAAAAACGTTTGGTTAACGTGAAACGTTTTAATTCAATTTACCCAATTGCGGTCGAAATGCAAAACAGGTCGATCTAATAGATTTCTTCATCTCAACGTTAATCGATTCTTTTCGCAGTAGAACATCAGGTTTCTTTTACTTGATGATGTTCCTGTTTCGTCGTCTATAAACGGAGTTGTTTTTAGTATCTTAGGGACTCCATTTACGCCTCGCCTTCTACAAAACTAACAACACAAAAAGAACTGGGCTCGTTTAAAATCTATTCGCGCAGGCATGCGAAGATTCAATTAATTATCGCTCTTTTGCCCTACGTCTTTAGATCTTTTCTTGTCTCTCTCCGACACGACAGTACTAAAAGATCTCTATACTGGTCGTTTCGTAAGCCTTACCGTTAGTTTGAGACTTGTAATCCGTGTAAATCGGATCGTTAAATTTAAACTAAGTTTAAATTAACTCTCTTGGTTAATGTTAAACAAAAATGTCTTAGGCTTTAAATTGAAGACATCCTGGATTCGACGACTTTCTCTAGTATTATTATTGGTGCGGTGGAGATAAAACTGGCGTTTCAGCAAAAATAATGAATCATTTCTTTTAGTAGTCGATTCTTCTTTGGGTTCGTTATCCGAGGTAGTGTAGAATATAAAACCGGTAGTAGAACCATTCACAATGCACAATAGAAACCATCTTGATGATTATAAATCGCTCGCGGTACGTCTGAGTTCGTGATCTCGCGATTTGTAGGCATCAATAAGACTCTTATTGTGGTCCAGCGACGTGACCACTATTTATTCAGACATTAAAACCGTGATAATTAGATAATTAATATATCCATAGTGATATTTATAAAGGAATTTAAAAGATAAACTTTGAAGAGTATGTTATATAGGTAACCAATAACTGTTTCTAATTTTTTTTTTTAATTCCTTGAAGTTTCTGTAAAATCGAATATCCACCTGCCTATGTTATTATGATGGAATCCTTGAAACGAGTCCCCGTTAACGGTTCGGAACAGTTCTTAAATTGACGCCGTCTCGTCCTCGGGCATTAGATTGCGTGCTACAAATTGGCCCCCGACTTTATACCTGTTGCACGCCGAAGTCTATGTAAATGAAACTGGCAGTCGAGACTCGGCTTCACAAAAACATCAAAAAAGGACCCTGTTATTATAGTCGTCCGCCCATCCTTTGCCGATATCCATAGAACGAAACCATAGTGTAATTCTATATCGATGAAATTTATTCTAATGAAAAAACCCATCTCTTTAAGGAAAATAATTGGCCAATGAGTGTTGGCATCTACCTGGGGAATTAGCTTTTTTATAGACACTTCAATACTTAAAGAGATAAATAGTTCAATCACTTTTTCCTGCTATGTTATTGACAATGGTAAAGTGCATAATATTACGCGGGCACTGCCCTTCAATCCAATCCAAAATATAATACTTCTATGTGCTTGGGTGGTAACTACAACCAAAACGTGATTAAGTGGTTGTTTCGGTCGATAACTGAAACACCAAAGGACATGAGGGATAGATTGTAAAAACATTGAATTGAGATTTAAAATGGTATATCATGGTACAACATTAACAAGCTGCTACTTCATATTTTGACAATGCTGTCTAATTTTTTCTTTTTTTTTTGTGTATATAAACCATATTTTCAGGAGTTATAGTATCAGATTTTATATTCATAATAATAACATGTGTCCGAAGTCTCTTGAAAGATTATGTACCTGCTACAAATTTTCAAATTAATACAAATCACGAAGGAAGCAAATTTGATTTGATGAACCATAAATTATTCTCGGAGCTCGTTAAAATTAATTCCTGCATTTCTGGAGCGAGAGTTTTCTAACAAAACTTTTAAAAAATTGTGTTATGTCATCAGTCCATTTATATTAGGGACTGAGTGAGACGTGATTTAAATGAACCTTAGCTCATACTATCAAGAAAACTGGAAATTATCATGTTTCTATAAATGTTTTTGACTCAAGTATTAATTCTCAATGGCAAAGTATTTACTAAAGTATTTGTGGAGACAGATGGCGCGCCTAAATATTTTTGACAAATTTCTTATAGCTTGATCTACAATTTCCATTTCCAGGTCCCTATGGAGGTCGCTGTTCTTAATGTACCAAGATGCTTCAACAATATTTCTTGACACTTTATTCCAAAATTCTTTGAATTATAGCTATGTTACTTTATCCAGCGCTGACCCATATTTGGATACTATTTGTTCATATGGGTTTTAATATCTTATCTAGCAACAGCATATTACATATAGTTTATTGTTTACATCATGTAAGATTCGAGGTATTCCCAGTTTAGCTGTTAACATAGTACGCATAGAGCGACACGAGCCAGAACAATTCTATATCTTACCTGGTTTTTTGAATTCTCCACGTTGGTACAACGTTTTTAATGTCTGCACTTTCTGCAAACACATTAAATACATAGTTATAAAAAAATATTTTCGGCAACTAAACTTTTCCCAATAAGCTCAATAAATATTAAGATCCAAATGGTTCTTAGTAGTTTGAGGGTTCCTTGAGGCTTCTTTTTTTTCTATCTTTTTCATATGGATGAGTATTTCGATACGCGTTGTGGCGATGCGCCCCTTCATCGGGCATAAATTAAGTTAATGGCCGCGCTATTATTAAACGTTAATTCGGAGACCGATGCCAGTGGCTAATGGGCGGTAGATTATGGATCGCGGTGGCCGGGGGCCGATCGAATCGTCCGCGGCCGCCTCCGATGCTGCTGCTACGCGTTACCGCCACCGGCTTTAAACCCCCTCTCTTAGGAGACCGGCTGCACTAATTAATTCGGCTCTCGGCGTTTGACGGACGCGCATTTATATGGCTCGTTAACCCAAGGGTAAATAAAATGAAAAATAACCCGGTAAACGCGTGAGCCCGCTATTACAGCAACTCTAGGCATACGATGGTTAGGTTCAGAAGACTGTATTTTCTAAGACGTAGTAAACAGCCCGAAGAGAACTTGTCGCCGGCTCGGTGGTTCTAATGGATTACGTACTCCAATGACTTTTATTGCGTACCGAGAAGGTCTAATATACGGTTAAAACAAAAGATAACAACGGAAGATAGTGAAAATGTTACAGTGACAGGTTGAAACATAATCTTATGACTTAAGTCTTAAATTTAATTTAAAAAAAATTATTGATTTTAATCCAAACAACAACATGAGCTTAAACTCATCATAGAACTCTATCATAGTGTAAACATAAACTCTGTGAATGTTTATAAATACAATACACGACGTGTGTTAAACAGTATATATCTCTATTATATAACTTATGGGATTTTCTTTACTACAGTTATTATTAATTTCTATCTTGTTGACGTTTAAAGATAAACACTGAGTAAACTAATGGCACCACTTTGCCCACAACATCATTTTGTGCTGTTGCCTATAGGCTATAGTTGACGAAGGCAATTTTTGAAACAATCCTCCGTGGCCTAACTGTAATAGATCTATAAAGATCGATCGGTCACGGAGCGCGTGCATTATAAGTGGGAGGCTGTCGCTGTCCAAATCCATATAAATCCTTATAATTTGTTCCCAGACGCGAAAACCGACCTTATAACGACGTCGACATCTGCCGCGATATCAAAATCGCGTAAATCAAACGTTCGCGATGCATCAATTAGGTTTCGATCGATATTCTCGATTGAAACCGTACCGTTTCATCGATTACAAATAATTTCCACTCCAGTTACGACGTCCACTGTTTACGGTATTACACTTATACAGTTGGTTTAGTAATGTTTTGATGACATAGAGGAAAATATGTGAAAAACATTATTTTAATCAAATATTATTGTTGCACTTACCGTTAATCTTTGTATACGTTTAAATTTCAAGATAAAACATGACGGGGAAATTTAAGTTTGACATTTGACAGCAAACACAGCAAAATAGGTCGGTAATGTAGGAAACGCTGGCGTTATTCATTGATGGGGTTAGTTATTTACTTAATATAGATGGAAAATGATCAACGCCAATTAATTAATAATAATAAACAATTACACACTGTTAAATTTGATTATAAACCGTTGCTTTGAAATTTATTTTGACATTTGACTAAAAGTCGGTAATGTAGAATAGCTAGAATAGTAATAAAATATGAAGCAGTTTCGATAAGCGCAAAATTGAAACAATTTAAAAATATTAAGTCTTATTTTCTTTTATATATTCGATGTAATTATAATTTATATCTTATTTTTTGGTCAATGGAACATTGATATTTAATAATTTAAATTTAAATATTCTAAGTATTTTATGGATAAGAATCCGTTGAAGACACGCAAAGAAAGCTTAACTTTAACGATTTATAGTATTAAACCTTATCTAAATGTCTCTTAAACTCATTAATAGTGAATTAAATGTGAAAACCACTGATTATAATTTTGAAAACATCAATTAAAATCGAAAACTCGATCGTTTCTTGTACCTCTTCTTGTAATACACGCACCGTGTAGATATCAATAGGCTTGGATATAAGAGGTGCGGTGTTGGTAAACCAACCTGTGCGGACGAAACCGACTTGGTACGAGAGTTCGACCGCGGCCGGCGTCGTCATCGTAGTCCTCTTGAGGTGGTACACCGGGGGGCGAAACGAACCAAACGAACCGAACCGGAGGAGTCAGTCAGTCCATCGGCGAGCCTCGAAGAGAGCTCGAGATACTCGACGCCATTCTCGGACGTTCAATTTATACGCAAGATCGCGAATCGCGTTGATTCGTTCGTTGCCTAGTTCTTCGCGTGATTTACCAATTTCGCAAAGAGATACCCTCGAGGCTTTTCGTGACGAACACGTCCCTCCAGTTGAGCCCCCGGTTTTGCGTAAACCGAGAAGTGCCATAGATGTCAAATTTGTTTAGCTTTTCGTATATTTTCAAAGGAATTTAATAAAAATATAAAAAAAATTGTGATTGATAATAAATTATTTGTGTTAATTTGAGTGTTTCTTTAGAGTGATTTCATTTGAGTGTGTGAGTGATTCAAATTAATAAAATAAGAGTGTTTTAAATAGATGGAAGTAATGTTTTAATCGATTAGAATGAAAATTTCTTTTCAAAGATTTTTATAAACAATTTTATAAAGTTGCAAAATGAGATAAAAAGAAAACAAATAGTACTTGTAGTGTGGTATGCGGTTGATTACATACATCATTAACGCGACTAACGTTTCCGTCCCGCCAGTTACATACTTAAGTCTGATAATACAGGAAGCTTAGACAGTTACACAAAAACTCATCCCACATTATTTTAATTGAAATGTAAGGGGATGTCTTTAAATAAATACAATTAGAGCGAAAATTAATAAGTAAAAAATATCGTGAAATGATGATTTGGGATACTTGCGCTAGCTTTTCTGTATAATGCCGCGTGATTGATATGCTTTTTTCTGATTTTATACATTTTTTAGTTTAATTTCTTACAATAATTACGTTTTAATTCCTATCAATAAAGGCAAATGATTTTTTACAGTGATCCCATGTTGCACTACTACTAAATATTTATGCAGAAATATTTGCCACAAAATTTTATTTCATTCTAAAGTTTTCCAAAAGTTTCTATGCAATCTCTATGTTCGGTATAAGACATAAACTATTAGTAATATTGCTTACAACGTAGTGATGAACTAAGCTCTTTAAAATATTCGAGTAATATTCACTGCATCTTTTCTGCCATGATTACTTTGTTTGATGGTCATTATCATCATCTCTATCATCAGAGTTTATTTTTGCAGAAGTTTAATTAAAATCAACATCATATATTCTTCATAATCCATTTTAGCTTGATTTATGATACTATTGATGTTATATTTTCGGAAACTGCTAAAGTCATTATTTCATCAACTTCGTTTCTTATACTACTTTCGTTAGTTTTCAAAACTACCCAATGCCTGTAGTATTAAGCTATGTTGCATTTTATGTAGGACAGTGCATAGTAGTTTCGTAACTATGGTTATTGCATTCATATCCCGGTATTTATTATCATTCTATTGGGTTGAATCATTTTTGAATCATATTTGCTGCTTTATATGGACTTCCAAGTTCGATATCCACAAATGTCAAACTATGTATATTTCAAAGATTTTTCGTTAAAATCATACTCGTGACCCTTTTGAATATAATATATGTATGTCTCAGGATCCAAAAGCATCTTGTTATCGTACAACTAAAGTTTCCTCTAGTTATTGCTCCTCGAATGTCTCTAGCTGTCCCAGATACATATATTTTTGTACATATTGGATACAATTGGTCATAACTTTAGTTTTGCATAATTTTGTTGTATTTGTTTCTTTAATGTCCAAACATAAAACAAACATAATTAAATTTTGTTATAAGCACCGTTTGTGTTATTTCAAACGTAATTTCATTTACATGTTATAAGTGCAGTTGTAAAATATATAATATATGCTTCTTTACCCAGAGAAAAATTTAATACCGTTAAGGCCGTTCCATTAATCCATTAGAACTCGATTGTTGACCGTATTAAGTCAAGTTATGTATTATTCTTCTCATAATGATGAGGTCATATCTTGTTCCATATTGCTTCCAACATATAAATATCAAATCATAACAAATTGTGAAAAATCAAAATATTTCTATTAGTGTCAACCAATTAACTCTTTTGTAAATCTTTTGAAATTTATTTAAATACTTTTGAGCCTCCAGGATTTATCGCAATATTTTTTGTTTAAATACCACCTTTAAGCGTGTATTAACCGCTAAGTATTTTTTGCTTATTGGATTCATACTTAAGTATGAATCAGGACCAATGCCCGATTTGAGATGTCGTACTTAACCATAACCGTAGTGTTAATCATAACCATAACTGTAAAGAATTTAAGAATTTACGACCATCCGTTCAAGTAACGTTATTAAAGTTTTTAAGCTAAAAAATACAGCTAATAAAATAAATATCATATATGTATTCAATGTCTAACTAAGGGAAATGAGGGATGATACCATCAGGTGTTATTAGGTACTCCCCGTTTGTATTCCTTATTGTATATTAGAGTGCAGTGCCAACTACTTTCAATCAAATCATTTTCTTCTTATAACATTTTATTTCTATCTACATGTTAATTATGTAGAAAAAGTTTATATCTCTTGAACTTTTAATGATACTTGTAACCATTCGTATTCTGAAACGGCATTAACATTAGATGTCTAAGTCATAATCACATCCATAAAATTACGAGTATGTGTATAAAATAGTTGTATTTCATTAACGACATCCGATTTAATCAATGATAATTTTGTGGTTAAGCTTGCAGTTTCTTCTACGCCAATTTCTAACCATCACTCTAAATTTTAAATAGTATCTTTTTAAATATTAATTAGTGCAATTTTCTGGACTGTTTATTTTGCTATCTTCAAATGATTAAATGTTATAATGGTTTAAATGGTTAAATATTTTGTCAGTAAACATTATGTTATGGGTCGTTGTCTTAGTAGAAACGCCAGTCGCTTGCAAGAGATAGTTTACTCGCGCTTTGAGAAAAATTAGTTTGTAAAATATCTAGGTTACGCATTCTTAACCGTTGTTTCCTCTATCATAAATTCTATAGATATAGCTCCCTTTTCTTTCTCCTACGTATGACTTGACGACTGATTTTAAAACATTAAATTTATTGTCCTCGGTAAACAAATCGATTTTCTAGGAAGAAGCGTTTGCGTTTCTACCATTTAAATCTATTTTATGAAGCACATCCCCAATGGTTAACGAACTGGTCTTTTTCCTATCTCGTTTACAGCAATAATGGCTATCTACTTATGTGAAAATAGTGTTATGAGCAATCTTTAGATGTAATCTTATACCTATCTCTTAGAACGAAGAAAATTATCAAAAATTTTGATGTATTATAACTTCGATGTAAATGAAATAATGGATCAGAATATGTATATACATAGTTTGCTACTCAAAACACAATTCATACAAAGTGAATTCCTAGCTGTGAATAATTGTATCCTGTATATGTAGTTTGGAGAGTGTCACATAATCTTAATGCATGACACATGTGACACATCATGAGTCATCGAACCAAGCCGTATATCACCAAGTTGATACACTTGTTCGGCAACTCTAAAAAGGATCCAATATCATCGACACGTGTTAAAGATTTTATTGCTGATTGGAACGTATTGAAGTTTGGCACGTTATTCGCCACGATGATACGCATCGAAGTTCAGGCCGTCAACAAACGGTACGCAACACCGTTATGTCACGGTGGTTTGTCACAAATCTGAACTCATCTTTAGATAGGTTTTCCATCTTTGCTAAAGTATTAATTTGATTTGAATAAAGTTAGTTTAAAAATGGACATAAAACATAATTATACTTTAATAACTTTTATTACACGATAACTCTTACAAGAACTAGATCTCCAAAATTATTGCCATCTGAGTTACATGTTTTGTAACATTACACAATAAGCCAGATAGATCACAAAACTATTCAAGAGTATTAATGTCAGTACTAATTGCATGTGCATGTAATAACAGTTTTAATTTTCTGTTTAATCTAAATATTGACACCAAAATAGTTCTCGCAAAAATAATTTTTTAATATTCTATATTTCAATCATCATTAACATCATTATTACACATCCGCCATAGTTTGGTTAAATTAATATCACACGTCAAACACATCCTTTGCGCAGATTTACTACTGCAATAATGGCTCACTGTAGATCTTCACGATTCAATAAACAACTTTTTTTTTCTTTTTCGACGTGGTATTTGTTTTTCCATCTCTCATCTCATGGGGTAATTGCCCATTACCTCTTAATTTCTGTAATACTCTAACACACTAAATGCGTGTTTACTAACAGGAACTAATAGTCCCTTTGAACTTTTGACCATGTCTTTAATTGTTATGGGTTTTTCA